AGAAGAGATATGACGCTGACGCAGCCAAAGCTGTCACATCCACACTGAGAGAGCTGGGATTTGACGATGACAAGGGAGCCAGTGCTGTCTTGGAGTGTGCCAAGCTCTTCAAGCTGCAACATGACACAGGTGCGTCGTTTCAAACAGATGATATGATAGTATGGACAACATTCTGTATGCGTTGTTGGTTGCTGTATGTGGTTCGTGTTCGCAAACTGACTTGGATTTCTTGACATTGGACCATTGAAAAAACTTTAAAAATTGATGCTGGGTGGCACATCGACACAGGCAAGAATTTGAAAACGGTCGTCGTCTTTCCGGCTGTGGTTGGACCATCGGCGGCGTCGAGTGGAGCAGAAGAGGGGATGCAAAACCTGTCTGTGAACGGAGGCGGTGGCTCGTTGCTGCCAGAATCGAGTCCGGAGGGTAGCATCGCCTTCTCATCCATGACAGTCTTTGAGAGAATGGTGGCCAGCAAATGCCAAACATGGACGCAAAAAAAAGGATGCAACCTGGCGATGGGTTCCATCAAAACGACACTGGAAGAGGTCGAGGGAAAGCTCATGACGGGGACCACACTGACAGATCCAGAACAATCCTTTTATGACAGTGTTTCCATGTCGGCATTGGAAGAAAAACAGGCATTCGTCAAAGCACAAATGGCGAAACAAGTAGAAGACGGAAAACTCACTGCACCCGAACGCAATCAACTGTTGGAACAAGTAGCAGAGCGATTGGCCAATCTCAACAAAGAAAAGGAAGAGGCAGAAGCAGCTGGCAAAGCCAAGCGAGGGCAACAATTATCCAACATGATTGCAAAAGCAGAAGAACGAAAATCCAAACTTGAAAAGATTGTGGCCAAATCGCCTCCACCTCTCAAACACGAAGCAGAAATTGGCAAACTGCGAAAAGAGCTAGAGCCACTCTTGGACGTGGAAGAGGCATCCAAGGGCCGCCTGCTGTCCGTCAAAGAAACTCAAGCGCTGGGACGGAAAGAGGAAATAGAAGAACAAATCATGCAACTTGAGGTGAGTACATACTTGTAATATTGGCGTGTGTTGGTTTGGTTTGGTTGGTTTGTTTTGACGTTTGAAATTTCACATACATGTTCTGATCACTGCCACTGCAAACGTAACAAACAGACGCCAGTCAAGGGTGGTTTGAGATGAGGAGGATTTCCAAAAGAGACTTCAAGCTTCCGAAAGAGCTTGGATGGCCAAGCTAAAACAAGCTAATAGCAAGAAGAAAAAGCCCGCGTCTTCTACTGCGTCGGCTTGGTCAACTGCACCAACGCGACAAAAGGCATCGGGCGGAACCAAAAGGCCGCCAAACCAAAGCCAAAGCCAAGGGCGGCAACGTGTTTGCTGCCATGATGATGGACAGTGACAGCGACTAGTCTGGCTAGACTGGCTACAATCGGTCTCGCAAGCAACGCAACAATGAGTGCAAACAGCTTCCATAATACTGGAACCGACAGCTTGCTTGTACAATGTACAGTCAATAATCGCTAATAGCTTGCCTTTCTCCTACGAATCCTAAAGGATGCCTTTTTTATCGGGCCAAAAACTTGGCCTAAACTGTTTCATAGCGGATGGCATAAGGTAGGATCGCAACAACGAAGCGAGGATCTCCCTTAATTTGCCGGACACTAACTGGCAGTGCCAAGAACTATGGGAGGCCGGGAAGTTGATTGACTTCGATTTATCATTCCAAGCAGCGGGAGAAATCAAGATAACATCCACGCTGTGCACCTCCACCGTGTTCTCCTAATTGCCGTTCAATGGCAGCCCTGCTGTCTTGTGATATTGGTATGGTGCCACCGTGTCTCATACGGTACGTACCGGTAGCAGTTCCGTACAGGCTATCACCTCTTTTTTGCCAGGGTTACTCGGCATTTTGTCTGTTTGGGTAAGTGTTTTGGCGATAACGTGATCCTTCTGTAAATGTCTACACACTGTTAGTAGACATAAGTAGACAAAGTAGGCATTGTGCGACTTTGGCAGACATTAGACATTGTGAGACATCCGTAGACATTGTGAGACATTTTTGTACTTTTTACTGTACTGTGTAGACATTGGTAGACATTAGTAGACATTAGTAGACATTGTGAGACATTGGTAGACATTGTGAGACATTGGTAGACATTGTGAGACATCGATAGACATTGTGAGACATAAGCCACTTTTACAAAGGAGCATAGAACATTTAGGCAACTCTATAATCAGATATAATAGCCTTAAATAGACAAAATGCCGAGTAACCCAGAGCCTGATGGTCCGGCATGGTCTGCCAGGACGAGTTTGAGTTGGGTCTCGGCTTGCTTTCTAACTGTCTAACTGTCGGCGGTTAGATACCAATACCAGTAAGGCGATCTAAGATGGTCAGAGGTTCACGTTATCACTTCAACATGGGTACCGGTGAAATTGACACGATTGCGTTAAATAGGGATCGTGTTAACCGGGAACGATTGTATCTTTTCGTGAAGTGGTCTTCAATGGATGCCCGTGAAATAGTGTTACGCTCACTATTTCAGAGGTTCTATCGGATTGAGCCATGGAGGTCCCCAACAATACCAGCCTCGGCCATGGGCTCTTCGCCCTTTATAACCCCGAAAATGATGACATCAAGACAATGAGATCCATCTTAACGAAACCTACCGTCCTGGGGGCGGTCTATGTGAGTGAACCAAAGAGGGTCAAAGGCTTCTTCTTACTTGCTGTCGACCCCAATAGCAATGAAGCCGGTGAACATTACAACGACCTAGCGGAATATTGCGACATTGAGAATCTAACGGTGGGGACAGCCCTTGATATCCTCTACTCTAAAGGACGTAAACGCAAACTACTCAAGAGTAACACCCGAACCATATACCGCGAGTTACAAGCCGTCGCCATCCAGGCAATAGGCTGGCAACTATAACCATAACCTTACTAGATTGCAACATGACACGTGATATTAAATAGGGTTCTTTACTTTACTATGACTTTCTAGATGACACCTGTTGAACTCACTGGTTCATCTGGTATCATCCTCTGGTGGAGCGTTCTTACTTTCGCGTTCCATTGGGCTTGGGTGTAAGGCGATCCTGGTTTAATGCACCAGTTTGAACGTTGACCCATCTCTTCTTCAAATTGCTTAATTCAATGGCAGCCGACACACCGTCATCATTATTTGTTCTCTGTCTTGTGGGTCTTAGAAAGTCTACGCCTGTCTGTCTGGCTGACGATTCATACCCAGGTTTACGACAATTCTTCTTCCAACTTATTAAACACGCTTTCCCACACCGTCTGGATTTAATTGGTTGACATTTTAACCGCTCTTAGGGTAAGCCCCGAAAACAACACAAAACGGAAGCATGACGAAGCCTTTTACACCGGCGAAGTCATGACGCTAACCACTGAGCTAAATCGCCTCATCATTGTTGCTCACCAGGGTAGCATAAGTAAGGGGAACATCCTTTGCATCTGCCAGGACCATTCGAACACGTTGTGGAATTGACTTGACTCTTGCCTTGGTATCCTCAATTTCGGCTTGAAGCTTTGCGTCATTCGGCAACTCCCGCTCAAACACCAGCATGAGCAGCAGGCACCACTGTGCACTACGCTAAAAGCTAGTGTAAAGATCTTTCGAGTGTTTTGAGTTTGAGAGAATGAAAGTTATGAGAGAGATTAGAAAGCTATGAAAACTAATCAACGAGAGAGATCATCATCAAGGGATCGTAGATCTGGCTTCCCGCGGGAGACTATAAAGTGTGATAGAGTAGGTTGTGGTAGTAATCCTACGTCTCTCCACGATCCTAAAACGGAACGCGTGGAAGGTTTGTCTAGCCTAGATCTAGTAGCGTGGAAGTACTCCACGCTGGCTAA